GGAATTGCCATTGAACAGGCAACACAATAAAGGTGATTTAGAAAATGGAATCAATTCTAGCAGCTAACTAATCTTGCACTAAACAAAAATGGTAAGGTGATCTTGAAACCAAATCAGGACAACTCTACTCCCACACTGTTTCTGCCTCCAGGGTCCAAAATGATCACACCATCTTACTTCACTACAGTGAATCATGCAGAAATACTTCAGACACAAGATAACATGGGGATTTATATTACAAATGTTAGCATTTTATTAGCGGGTGAGCAAGGAACAGGAAGCAACCATGTAAAATTGACACAGCTGCACAGAGGCCCAGAGAACCACCTACAAACTAAGCAGAACACATTCTTTTTTGCCTGTTTTCATCAAAAGCATGAGGAAATCTGCCCAAAACATCCCAAGGATCTTCGAGGGTGGCAAGGGTCATCTAAAAATGTTGCTTATTGAAGTTTTTATTAGCAGCCTCTTGAGAGCAGTGTCTCTTTCCTCAAGATTGCATATGAAACATTCCTGAAAGCATGAAGTATATGTTTAAATACATATATATATACACACACACACACTTGCTATTATTAGAGTCCTGTGCAAGAACCTAATAATAGAAATGTCCATAGTTACGTATAAGGCAATTATGAGAGACATATATAAAGCATGCTTTAAGGTATGTGCATTGCTGCCACAGAATAGCTATGCACTAAGTCAATATAGAGAAATCAGACAAGCCTATCACATTCATCTCCAGAGACTTCAAGTGTTTCATTTCAGCTATCATAAATCCAACAAAAAAAAAAAAACCCAAAAAAAAAAACAAAAAAAAAACCACGAAAAACAAGCACTAATCAAAAAACCCCACAAAGGCAGAATACTGAATCCTTCTTGTCACTCCACTTAGTAGCTTCTAGAGGAACTGGAAGCAGATGCCAGAAGAAACAAATGCCACACATCAGTATTAGCTGCAATCTTTGTCTTCTTCAAGAAATAATATAAAATACACACTTAATTACTTAGGAATTGTCTGATACTCCATATTACACAAATAACATTATGCATAGTTGCAATTTAATAAGGAGAGTATCCAAATGGTAACTTTCTGTATATACCATCATTATAAACTGTCACCACTAGAAATACAAATAAAGTATGTTTCTTATACAGTTGGTGTTGTAGTCAGCATTTTGTCTGTTAACTGCCAACAAACAACACAATTTGCTTGTAAACAAAGGATTCCTTAGATCAAACACAGAAAGCATGTCACTGGTGAAACCGCATGTTTTAATCTCTAAACTCAAGGAAAGCCATCCTTTCCCAATTAAAAGCACTGTGAAGATTTGCTCAAAGCTGTGCTACCTGCGACCTCCAGGGAATATTCCCACTCAGGAACAGACTTTAACACAGACTATGCTTTTCTTGTGTACTTGCGCAACAGCACAGTCATCTTTCATCCAGAGCAGAGCACAGATTTAACATCCACAGCGGCATTTCTGAAAGGCAGCTAATCTCTCCAATACTGTTACAAATTCCACAATAAATCATGTTTAATTAGTTTGTGCTTTTTTCCTGGCTGTCTGTAATTCAACAAAGAGGAGGCTTCCAATTTCAATTTTGCAAAGAGGTGCTTAGAATAAATTGGTAAAAATGCAAACCACCGCATCCCCTCTGGAAACTGGAGTTATCTGCTCGTTGACACACCAACATTCCTGCCTGTAGATGGCCTGTTACCGTTGCGTATCGAGCGTCTCCTATTTCCAGTGCCTTGTTTGAAGAACTTCCCTCTTCCCACATACCTTCCATCTCCAGGGACAGATCACACATGGACACTAAATCTTGGCCGTAAACAACATGACTTTTGATATTCCTGTCTCCAAAGGATCCTCAACCGCTGCCGTTCAGCGGCAGAGAAGATCACCTAGGTGCAAATCCTCTGTGCAACACTTTTGAGAAACCCTTTGCCTCACTGGTATTTGGCACAGCTGAGATTTACACAGGGGCTGCTGGCTTCCTCCGCTATTTATTTTATTTGCTGTACACTAAGGGCTATTGCAAACAAACGGGACTTTGGTTTTGTGCAGGGTGCTGCAAGTTACTGTTCTGTTGCACTAGGACATTTGATTTCCAGTCTTAACACCCACTACCATGGTGCCCTTGTTGGAGAGCCAGGAAGCCCTCCCAGAGCATCCCAAACTGCTGCTCCTACAGGCCACTCCATCTTCCCTCATGTCTCTCCTTTTGAGCAGAGTAGAAAACTGCATTGAGAAGAAAAGCACTACAGAGCACAGTTTGTTTTATTCAGCTGTATATGGGACATTTACGTAATTATTTGTATTTTTTAGGAATTAAGATCCTCACACTACAAACATTTATTCACACTGTAAACCTTGCTAGCACTCACCAGACCGACAACCTGCATTTTGGAGGGAAAAGCCAATTATACTAATTAGAAAGCTCATGAATACAACCACACACACACAGAAGTTTGCTGCATGGTCTGTATGTGTTTTCTTGCATAATTTATAAATTGCAGAAGTTTAACCACCTTTAACTGCTCCTCTCTCTCATCAGAGAAGTTAAAGAAATCTACGAAGTAGGAAAAAAACACCAAAACCACAAATTCTCTGTTAAGAAAGAGGTACGATGCAGAAATCTACTTTCTGCTCACTAAATGCCACATGTAGAGGGGAAAAAAAATAGTGCCAGGATAAACACACTTCAGATAGGAAGTTACAGACTTCCGAGAGCTTGTGGTATGGAGTTACACCTCTAAGCTTCTTGGCTATAGTAGAATATCAGCTTATTTTGGATGCTGTCTTCATTTATTGTCCTTTGGCCAGCTATAGGCTAACAGCATGAAAACTCCCCCTCATCGCCATCCCAGCAGTGACCTCAAACCCAAACCAGGTGAGTCCCAATGGTTCAAATAACATTCAAAAATTATAGACTAAATCAACTTCCACAGACTCATCTCTGAGCATAAACTAGCTAAAAGATGCTGAGCTGGGAAGAACAACATGCGATACTCCTGGGACAACAGACATTTCTTTCACAGCAGGGTCCCTGATAACAACCACAATTGCTTTAAAACTAAGGAGAGGGAACCACAAAGTGAAGATTAAGAGAAAAGCACTAAGAGACTGCTTCTGTGCGAGACCTGAAATGACCCCAGGATCACTGCCAAGAATCATTTTCTTACTGGTAGCACCGGCAGCGTGTTTTGACCAGAGAGACACAGGCAGAAGATGAGCAAGGGTACTCGTGGACCAAGTGAGAGGGACAAAATTCCTCCACTCAGAAGGCAGCCCACTGCCCATTCCTGAGGTTTATGGAAGAGATGCCTTTACCTGTATTTCCAACCAAGCACACACATTGTGTCATCCATGTCCAGAGCAGCTGCTCCCCATCAGAAAGGAGTGGAGCTCCAGACCAGTACAGGCACCAAGGAGCTAGCAGGCCTGGCAGTCCCTTTTTTAAGCAAGCTGAGTATTTCTCAAAAAAAGTTGAGAAATACTGTTTAGACTTAAAACATGTGTGCAAGTTTGAAATCCCATTACCTAGCACATTGCTAAGCTCGAGTTAGACTGGTTTGGCACCTTTCAGGAAAGTACGAGTTGAGCCCTGGGTTCTGCAGGGTAAGCGGTTAGGGGATACAGCAAATGTGGTCAGGGCCCAGGGAACCAGGATATGTGGATTCTGTTCCCACAAATCTAGCACCTAGTTCAAATGAAAAATAATTAAAAAAAAATCCGAAATAACTAAAAAACCCACCAAACAAGAATATTCAATTTTTCCATATCTCAGTTCCCCCATCTGTGATGGAGAAACCACCACTTTAGGGAACTGAGCCAATACTTTTACGTACTCGAAGTACACAAAAAAATGCAAATGAAATACTAATATGGAGAGAGGCAGTTGCCCCCCACCTTTTATTTTACAGATATATGTGGGATAAATGGTTCATTACATTTAACTCCAGGCCGCACCACCTTAGCCAAAACCTTATTTAAACAGAACATTTCTGAGAACCGGGAAGGGGGGAAGGCAGAGGGGAGGGATGCAGATGTGGTCTTAACCTAAACGAGATTAAGCTTTTAAAAGGCTTGTTCTTTTTTCGCTCCGTCTCCTGGTAGCATGCCATTTTAAAAAGGTGTCTGGCAAGCAAAATAAAAAGTTTCCAGGGTTTTCCTTCCCAGAGCCGCCTCAGCCAAGAGCCGGGCGCGGAGGACGGAGCCGGGAGAAGTCGCTCGCGTCTCTCTTCAGCTTTTTCTCCAACATGCCCCCTGGATCCAGACGTTCTGAGAGGGAGCTGCGGGCGAGGAGCAGCCCCGGTGGCCTCACCTGCCCGGCATTCCGGGCTGCTCAGCGGGGCCCCGGACGCGAACCTGCGCCCTCCCGCCCCACGGGCCCGGCTCCTGCGGGGCAGCCGCGGCAGGGCGGGGGCCGCCATGCACGCACCCACGCGTGCCGCCAGCCCCGCACGCAGCACCGGCCGCTCCCCGCGACTTCCCTCCCGGAGCCGCACCGGCCGTGCCCGCCGCAGGACGCAGGGGAGGGGCGGGCAGGCGGCCGGAGAGAGGCGATGACAGCGCCCTGACCGGCAGCCCCTCGGGATTACCGGGCGGCGCTGGAGGGCCTGTCCTGCCGCCAGCTCCAAGCAGGGCCACGGCGGGGCTGCTCCCGCGTGCCCGCACGGCGCCGTTCGCCGCAGAGCTACCCGCGGAGGCGCAGAGCCGGCGGGGCCCCGGGGCGAGACGGGCCGGGCGGGGAGTGCAGCGAGAGGAGGGGGCGGCAGCGAGAGAAACTTTCCGCCAAGTGCGGCCGCGTCCCGTCGCCGCCCGCGATCCCGCCCCGCCGCCGAACAAAAGAGCCGGGACCGGGAGCGGTGCCTCGGGGGCAGCGACACGGCTCCCCGGGGCTGCGAACCGAGAGCAGCTCCCGGTCAAGACGAGACGACCAGAGCCGCTGGGCTCCCCGCCCAGGTCCCCCGTCCCCCACCGCGTTCTTACCTGGCGGAGGGCTGTTGCAGGACGCGGAGCCGGGCCGGTCGCGGTGGTGAGTCCCGGCTAGCTAGAGCGAGTGCCAGGAGGGCTCGGCGGGGATTCCGCCATGTCAGTGATGTCGGCACCACATGGGGCCCGCGGACGGCCCACGCTACCGCGCACTCTGGAGTAGAGGCTCCCGCCGAAAAGCCGGCTCAGGCGGGCGGCAGCGAGACGCGCCGGCCCTGATGCACCCGCCCCGCCGAGCAGCGGCTCCGCCCCGGACCGGCCCCGCGCCACCGCCTCCGCCCCGCAGCCGGGCAGGGGGAGCCGCGAAGGGCGGCAGGGCTCGGTGGGGGCTGGGGCGGGTCCCGGCCGCGGCCCAGTCAGGCGGCGCCGCCTCGCTGCGCGCCCCGCGCCGGCTCCGCCGCCAAGCAGGGTCCGAGCTCCCGTTTCTCCTTGTCCGCCCTCTGCTCCTCCGATTCCAGCATCGTTCCTTATTGTCAGGTATCACCCCTGGAGCAGAAATAACCCACCGAGCCTTCCCCCAGCCGTCGTGGCAGAGGCTGGTCCCTGTTGTCACGAAAATCCCATTTTTCACCGCAGAAGCCCCTCGTCCGAAGGGGCAAAGGCTGGGATTTGCCTCACTCTCCTCTATGTCCTCCCCTCAGCATCTGCTGCAAAAGCAAGACACGGCATTAGAAGAACCCTTAGTCCCACCAGGGTGGTTGTTCCTATGTTTCCATCAGTTGGGAGTGTGGAGAATTTTTAGGATATGTATTTCAGAGCTTTGTAAATGCTTTGATTAAGTTGTTGCAGCCCAAAAGAAGAAAGGGTTTTCTGCTGGCTCTGAAAGAGCCCCAAGGAACCACAGTGGTCATTTACCTCTCAGTCCTGCATCCAGGTGATGTAGGAATCACGACTAGAGACTTAATCTGTTTACAGGGAAAGCTTAAAATAGGGCTTGGCCTTACTGACACCACAGATTACTGTCGTGCTATGAAGGGGCTTTTGATTTGGCCTTTGGGTAGCTAACCCTCCTCCGCAGAAGCTCACCACCCATACATCTTGTGCTCTACATTCTGTCACTTCAGTGTTGTTTTTTCTCACAGCTTTTACCAGCAGTTGATCTCCCCTACCTGTGAGAGCAAGGCTTCCTTTCAGAAACTAGAAAACCTGGTGAAGTCTTAGGTGCATTTTCATCAGCTTCCATTAAAATATCAACATGACGTTTTTCTCATAGGACTCCTTGATGTTCTACTTCTTGATGAAATTCAGACTAAAGAAAAATTGCTTTGGCATAAAAGTCCTGTAAAATAAAGACATCATGCCCAACTAGCCTGTTTGTTGTTTGTTTTTTTTTAATTGACCAAAACACAGAAAAATGAAAATAAAGGTATCTGAAATAGATAATTCCTACAAAAATAACAAATCGGCATTTTCCCATGGGAAAGATTTTTCAATGTAAAATGGCCAGCCAGCACTAAGTATTGTTCATTCTTAATTGCAAAACCTTTTGTAATGACTAAAATATAAAAGTAAAAAAATGTTTTGTTTTATTAGTGACCCAAAACACACAGACTTTTTGATGATCGTGTATTGAGTTACAGTCAGATGAGATTAATTACTCACTAGGGTGATAAAGCCCTTACTTGGTCTCATAGACTGTTTTGTGAAGATGAGAGAGAAAAGGGACAGTGAAGATGTTGGGTTAGAAAGGAAAAAATAATCACTGACCCAAGTTGGAATATTATTCCAAAGAAAAAAAAAGATGAAATTTCAGTTGAAGTGTAAAAAAAAATCAAACCTGAAGAAAGCAAAATGAAAAAAAAAAAAAAAACAAAAAAACACCCCAGTGTGTTTCTTTTCATAAGGAGAATACAGAAAAGAATAGAGAAATAGAAACAAAGCCGCACAACTAACTTGTAGCTTTTCTACCCAATGGGACAGAAGGCAGCTAGGTCCTCATTTGGAGAGTCAAAACAGAGGCCCAAGGCACAGAGACATTTCCAGTCTCACCTAGAACTGCAGAATTGGCCAAACATGAAAAAAGAGGAAAACTAGCCTGGGCCTGGAGCAGAGGCATACCTCCTCCCTGGAGCACTTTTCATTCAGCCTTGCTGTCCTGATGAACTGATGAGCAGACATGGTTAGCAATAACGCCAAGCTGATTCAAAGGAAACTGGGCATGGCTTATAAACTGAGGAAGGGAGCAGGGGAGAGTGCAGCAAGGACCACTTTTCCTAAGAAGGTTCCAACATAAATAACAGATAAAACTGTCCTTACTGCCTGAACTAGCTCATCTAGGAAAAGCATTAATCAGACCTGGAGGAAATCATCTTTTGCCCCTGAAAAAGGGTTAGGCTAAGTGGTGACACAGCAGGGACAGACAAATTACACTGGAAAAAATGACTGACCTCAACTACCATCTAAATAAATACAGACCAGAACTATGAACTTAACTTCTCTGTTTTGATGAGTCTGTGTTTTTTTCAATAGCATGCATATTTTTCTTTTATCACAGTGAGATCTTTCTGTTAATTCAGGAAGCAAGTGGCATCAAAATGCAATCGTATGTCTCTTTCACCTCCCTTCCCATGTGCCCCTGCTGCAGACAAGCAGGATGAAGGGATGATGCTGTCTCCTTCCTCAGTCTTTCTCTTGGATCCGTGACCTCAGGACATTCCCAAACTGGAAGTGCACCAGGATCTGCTTTCAAGTGCACCCATCTGCTTTCAAGCAAGAATTGTTTAGCTATCACATAGTCACTGCTGACGGGCTGGATGCAAACTAATTCTAAACCCCGTATTCTGCCACCATCCCCATCAGCCATCCCTTCATATTTGTTGACAAATCCCAGAGAGGGGCCTATGGAAACTCTCTCTATACAGTCAGGATGTGGCCTTGGAGATTATACATCATTGAAATGGCTGCAAAGACAGTCTTTATTTGCACAGGATACTTTCCATCCCGTTTCTGATGGGATTACAGGTAAACTTTCACTATTCCCACAAGTTCCACGTTCTGTATTCTAGAGGGCAGACAGGCAGGCTGAGATTGTGGCACCACTGCTGTTTGACAGTATACAGAGAATGCTTTGATGAATTTATTTGCCAAATACTGGTTTGGGGGGGTATTTTTATTTTTTGTTTAACCTGGGGTGTACTGCCCTCAGTCATTTTTAATAGCACCAGCATGTAGGGTGTATGGTTCCGCTCACACACTGGCAGGGACTGTAGTCACAGAAGTTTTCTCTTCATGTTCATTATTACATCTCTGAGCATCTGAGGGTGGGCTGGCTTGGGACTCGGTGTCTAACAGGTTACATTTACCCATAGCAAGAGCTTCAAGTTCAGACTCCTACTAGTTCAGATTCTTACTCTCAGGACCAGCAGCAACATAAACAGAGAAAAATAGATACTCAGCAAGAAATACACCCTAGGTAACCCCTAGGAAGGCTGAGAGTAGGCACTGAAGCATCCCTCACTTGCACCTCACTCTCCCAGGGAAAGGGTTCTGCAAGGTGGGAAGGGCAGGATGCTCGAAGCAAACAACTGGGTGATGTCCTTAAGGAAAACATCCAGAACAAAATGATATAGTACCTCTCCTCCCTCCACCTTATGATCACAATTTATTCCTTCCACTGAATAAAGATAGGACCATATAATCTGTTTTTTCTTGTTAATAAACCCTTTTGGGGGCCCTTGTCTTTATGTATCCCATATCATTAAAGTTAGTGCAATCTGCACAACTGGGTACTCAAAATCCTACATTACTACCTGATCACAGTAGTCTTCTCTCACTCTTACCTAAAAAATAATAAAAAAACCCAAAGCTAAATGCAGATTAAACTATACAGATTAAAACATACTGAATTCCTTCAATCTTGACAATGTTTTATTTTCAAGATGGTGCCCAGAGACTAGCAGAAGCAAGAAGATCTAGGTAAGCACACGTATGTAGTTTGTAGTTCATAATGGTCACTTTTACTGCAAGGAATCAAAAATTCTGCAGGGCACTTTTTAAATAACTAGGGCATGTAAATATTTTCATGAACCAGGATTTCTATCTGTACCTCTCTATTTAGAGGAAATGAATGCTAGTTATTCACTCAGTGTATATTCACGTTGTTGCATTCATGAACTGACCAAGTTTGGTGAGGAGCTTGTATTCACAGTATTAATTAGCAGGTTTTCCCCTCTTCAGACACACAGGTCAGTATCACTCATTCTCAGTAACACATGCAGAAATTAAGCCCCCAAAGTCTTACTCTTGGGATAAGGTCAAAGGACTAATCACTGTAAGATTCTGAAATAAAAGTTACCTGCTTCTTGCTACTGGGATGCATGGTAACCTTGCATTGCACAACAATTTGGGATAAAAACAATTACCTACTGGACATCCTTGTATTACATTCAATAGGCCAGTCCTTAATTTGGTCTTTGAATCTCTCAACCTACTCCTAAGCAATAAACATGCCCAGTCAAACCCTACTAGAAGTCACCAAAGGCCCAGGGAATTCTATGGCAGCTAGGAGAGGCCCTCTAAATGTCAGTGCCATTATTCTAAAGGTGCGATTTCTGACACAGCAGAAGTTGTTGTTTGTCAGGGATATTATGCTATTAGTTGTTTCTAAAGCTTTACAAAGGCACCATGGAAAAAAGATGTTCCTGTTGCCCTCTCTTGCATGAGGAGCACCATTGTCTTCATAATTTATCCAATTGCAAGCTGAGGACTTACACAGGGCATTTTTTACATTTTTTCATCTACGTTGGTTTTATAAGTCTAAATAAGTTCCCGTCTGCCAAGAGCTTCCAAAGTGTTGGCACTTAACCAATTCAAGAAGCTTGCCACGAAGATTACACACCAGTTGTGCTTATTCAAAACAATAACTTTGACCACTGCACCAGAAGAACATACTCCCATTTATTGTCTTATAATCACGCATCTCTGCAGTGTTAGTTCCCCTTTTGCCAGCAAGAAGGATGTTCCTTTTGATATTTAACCAATATTTCAGCTAAGTCTCCTTAACACTCTACAGTTCTTTGGCTCATTAGGTTTGCTTTGGTTTTGTTTTGTTGAAAGCTCTTGTTTCAGTTCAGGCTCTAAAGAAAACAAA